CCTGGCTTTTTGAGTTTCTGTTTGGGGAAGCAAGTTTTCCTTTCACTAAGATTCCTAAGGACAGGGATATTTCTCAATTGTAGGAAGTGGGTTCATACGTTAGGGGACCAGAAAGAAAAGTAAATATTTATGCATGGTTTATCTTAATGCTTGCAACAATCTTGTGAGGTTGAGTCTATATTTTCCCCATTTTACAGATGGGGAGACAGATATTGAGACATTGGAAAAGTGCTGATTTCTTCCCCAGCCAAGCAGTGCTCTGTAAGAGCCCTTTCAGCTCTAAATGTAAAGCGATGTGTAATGACAGATGACAGATGACAAGACAGCTCTATTGCTTCCAGCTCTTGCACTCTCTGAAGTCTTTAAGAAAGAGGGATTAGAGCCAGATTGGCTTGGTCCTGTCCCATGCCTCTCTGACTTCCCAGCTCCCTCCTCCTTCTATTAGCGCTTCTGCTGCAGCTTAACTGCTTTCCACAATATTTATTTACTGTCCCTTCCGTGTTGACAGCCCTAATGGACTCTGCAGATTAAGCAATCTCAGCCATGCCTTGAGCTGTACCTGGATCGGCCCATTAGACAATGGCAGAAATCACCCTTGTGCCTGGTTCTAATTGAATAATTTACTGTAAATAGCCTCCACTTCTTTCCCGAGCCCAGTCTCGTTAGCCAAATGGAGATGAGCAAGGGCTGTCTCTAATGGGATGTGGGAGCAGAAATGAGCTGTCCAAATGGAACTGTTGTCACAGCAGGCATTGAATTAAATCAGAGACACTTACAGCTTCAAGTCTTTCTTGTAAACTAGCCACTCCTGGTGGGGGAGACACAGCTCAAAGGCCTGAAGAAACAAGGCTGCAGGATCCATGGGATTCTCACTGAGTTAGGAAGGGCTCTGGGGGAGGTGATGAAGGGGTTTCCTCTTCCCTGCCCACTCCTTTATATGTCCTTTCCCCTCTCTTACTGGGCAAAGCAGCGTCTCTGCCTTGAGATGTATTTCTTAACTTCTTCCAAGATGAAGGACACTCCCTCTTTGATGCTACTATGTGCCAAGCACAATGTCAGGGACTTTTGCAAATGATCTCATTTAATCCTTATGAAGTTCCTGGGAGGTGGGTATAATTGAGGGAACCACATTTTTGGCAGATTAGTAATTTTCCCAAGGTTATATACTTACCAGGTATAGAATCAGGATTTGACCCTATCAGACTCCAAAGTTCATGTTGTTTGGAATACCAGTGAGATCACATAGCGTCGGGCCAAGGGTTATCTTGAATCCAGTCCTGGTTTCAGACTTTGGGCAGTGGGCAGGGGGTGGCTGCAAGGGCATCAGACTGAAGACGGACCTTTGCAGTAGTCGCGTTTCTGAGGACTGCACGCTTAACACAGGTCTCTGGGGAAGGCTAGTGCCACTTTGCAGCTTTATCTGGGACAATGGTCTCCCCTCCCCTGATCCCTATAGGGCCCATCTCTCTATATATGACTTTCACAAAAATAGCCAATAAATGAGGAACAAAAGAGAAATGTCCTCCACTTCCTCCCTCCATTTGACTGCAGTGATTGCTTCTTTTTTTCTGAGGACTGTTCTTCTGTCCTCTGGAGGACTCATAGTCTGGGAAGTGGGAGCAGTGGGAGGTGCTGGTGGGAGGGAAGAGTGCTGGACTTTCTGTGAAGGGCCCACTGGAGCTGGGTGTTGCCACCAGGGAATGGAATCAGGTTGCCTGTTGGCAAACACTGGGCACATGTTGGTGGTTTGTTGCACTCATCATCTTCACTGCTCTAGCACCTCCCCTCCAATCATAAACTTGGATTCTACTCCTCTGCCACCCACTAGTCTGTGCTTCTTACTAAATTTCAGAGGTCTCATTTGTAACAAGGGGCTGATGATAGTATTAAATGAGTTAATACTACATGAAGTATTTAGAACAATTCTTAGCATATGGTACATGTTCAGTAGATATTAGCTATTATTATTATTGCTATAGGCGCTTTATAAACATCAGCTGGGTTAAACTCCTGCCATTCCCTGTGTCACTTTCAAAATATTCTGCCTCATTCCCAAAGAACATGAGCTGTGGTTCCTTTGAGAGCTAATCTGGTTCACAGCCCAGGCTCTTGACCACGCAGTTCATTGTGTTGAGTCCGGTGCCCATTTTCACACTGAGCAAGATGTGGTTTCAGACATCAAGAAGTCTTGTACCACTGAGGGAAAGAGATGGCCATAAATAATACAGTCTGGGAATAGGGTAGTGACACATATGCAGCCCAGATGTCCTCGAGGTGCCTCCCCAGCCTCTGGGAACATGTGAGATGACGTGGACCAAGGCTGTGTTAGCCGGCAGGCTCCACCTGCATAACTGCTGGGAAGCTATGGATGAAATGGATGAACAAGGGCATCCCGCTGGGATGCTTTAACAAAAATCAAGATATATCAGGCTTATTGTGTTTCCCTCAGCTAAGAGCTCAGAGCCCCTAATGGAAAGGAAGTAGATTATTTTGGTGTGACTTGTCCCTACTGTGCTCTATCTGGCTTCTTGTGCTTGCCACTTCTTTCTGAAGCATTCACAGATTGGTGATCTGGAATTTGCTGAAGAATTTGTGGTCACCAAGCTGCGTTTCTGGAATCTGCCTCCTAGAAATTCAGAACACTATTCTTATATTCAGGCATTGGCTCATGACAACTCTTCCTTTCTCTGGGTCACTCTGATATGACTTGAATCAGATCCAGAGGTTCATCTAGTATTCTGTGGTATGCTGCACCTCATCCTACAGAATCCTTTTGGTTCAAACGTTGAAGGGCCTTGGAACTTTCTTACTTTCTCCTTGTCTCCTCACCCACCTTGGGCTTTAATGCCCTCTCCAACATTTTGTACTTTGCTTCTGTTTTCTCCATGATGAAGATGAAAGTAAAATAGGATTTGCTTGCTCACTGCCATTTAATCACTTCTTAGCTTTTGCCCTGAGAAGTCAATATTTTCCTTTTTTGTAATTTAATCAAACATATAAAAAAGGGAAGAAACACCTCACTTTGTTGTTTCCGGCTTTTTCTTTTGTGTTGTCCTTTCAGCCTGCTGGCTCGCTAAGTTCCACAAATATACCTTCTCAATAATTATAATAGTGATAGAAACAGTGACGGGACAAGACATGGTAACAAAGGCTGGTTGAGCACTGTCACTATGCTAAGTGCTTTATGTGGTATATCCCATTTCCTGCATCTCTCTTAGCATGGCTGACCACAGGACTTAGCACATGGCAGACTCTAAGGGCAGAATAAATAATAATAACAGCTACTTTTTATTTAGCTCTCACCCTGGCCTGATACTTCTGCATTCCTTATCTCATGTCATCATCATAAAAGCCCTGTAGAATAGATATTATTATCCTCAGTTACAGATGAAGAGATAGGGCTCAACATAAATGTATTAACAATTCATTCCACTCATTCTTTCAACAGACAAATAGAGTGCCACTAAGTGCCCAGCCCTAGGCTGAGTGCCAGGAACACAGGCAGTCCCTGCCCTCAGGAGGCTCACAGTCTAGTAAGGCCCATAGATGAGGAAACAGGCAATGACAGCAAGTGTCTGGAATTATCTAATGTTCCAGTTTGTTCTGGCTCCTGCCTCTCTTTGCTTTTCAGATTGGCCATTTTAATCTTTCTTCCCAGCATCATCGGGGATTACTTTGTGTTCAGCCTCATCACTATTAATTAAAGTTTTCCTTCTCCATTCTCTTCTATAGGAGTCACTTGTAATCATGGACTTAAGAGTCTTCTGTTGCTCTAGCCAGGCAAAGGTGACAGAATATCCATTATCCCTAGGGAAGGCTTACTTACTGGCTTGGAGGAGTTGGCAGAGAGAGGGAGAGGGAGAGAGAGACAGAGACAGAGACAGAGACAGACAGAAATGAAAAAGAGAAGGAGTGTGGAGAAGGGACATCCAGGGGCAGAGAAGGGACAAGGCAAGGCAGGAGAAGACAAACAGGTGGGCAGCAAGTTATGGTCAAACCCTGAGGTGCACGTAAGCTAAGCACATCCTCAGTGCTGGGATCAGAGGCCCCAGGACCTGGTTCCCTTTTATAAGTTAGGATGCTTTTAGTTGTGCAGAACAAAAACCCTCATTCAGATTGCCTTAAATGATGAGAACTGTTCTTATCTTAGATAATTGGAAGCCTAGAGGTGGGCCAGACTCCAGGACTAGTTAATTCAGTGTCTCAGTGATCAAGGACCCAGCTATTTTTTCTCTATGCACTAACTTTGTTCTCCAGCTAACTCCTTTCATGACTGCCAGATGGTCTCTAGCAACAACGAAGTGGATATGTTTTCTTGTTCAAGTCCAACAGGAGAGAGATGATGGCTGTCTGTTAGGAGAAAGAAAACTTTCTCTAGGAGCAATCGTATCATCATTCATCGGCCTGGATTGAGTCACATGCTTATTTCTGAACCAATCACTAGCAGTTTGGGTGAAATGACATCATCTGAAGTGAAATGGATCTGGGAAAGCAACCACTATGCCCATTACAGGATCACATTTTCCAAGACAGACTTAAGCATAATCACAGTGAATAACCAAGTGCTGTGGTGGTATGTAGCCAGGGGATTAGAATGTAGATTTGCCACATTTAGCAAATAATATGGGATGCCCAGTTGAATGTGAATCTCAGATAAACCATGGGCACTTTTTAGTACAAGAACTTCCTATGCAACATTTGCTGGCCCGTGTGTCCCGATATTTGGTACCAAATGTGTCAGGTAAATATTTGGCAATGGGACATAAGAAAAGATTGTTGGGGCTTATAGTGGGCTGGGAACTTAGAAACTAGATCAAATCTGGTTCTGCCTTGTGTGAGGTCTGTTGAGTGTAAACTGGTTCAAAAGAAGAGGAGATCTAGAGGCTTTTTCTTCACATCTGCCTTGGTTCCTTGTGGCCTGGATCTGGGTGAGAAAGTGATTATATCTTTTTTCTTGGGGCCTCACTGAGCTGTCCTGCCCTCCCTTTTCACAGGGTCCCCACCGCTGTGGGCAGGCCTTGCTGCAGATTGGGATCAACATGATGGCACTGCCTGGAGGCCGCCACCTGGACTCCATCCCCATACCTGGGCAGCGGTAAGTCCTACAGCTCGCTGAGGCCCAGCCCCTGCACCCGGAGGCTGCAGGTGGCCCCATCTCTCCATGCATTGTCCTGGGGGAGGCTAGAACAAAGTATTGGGGATGCCACATTCACTTAGCAAATATGAATGGAACTTGGCCCTGGGACATTGAAGAATCAGGCATATCCCAGCCTCCAAGGACCTGTGATCTAAAGTGGAGGCAGACAAGGAAATCGAGTGGGGTGTGCTGCTAAGATAGAAGACCCTAGAGGAGGCTCCTGATCGCACCTAGGCTGGGAGGTCAGAGCCACAGGGGTTCCTTGGGCTTAATGCAGGGCCTCTCTGAGCCTCTCAGAATAGGCCAGTCTACCCATGGATATCTTCTCTTTCCCCCAGAGCACCAAGGAGAACATTGAGCTTAGAGCTGATCCTTGGGAAGTACTTGTTGCCCTGAGCTGGGCAGTGTGAGAGGGGAAGTGAGGCATACACTGAGCAGAAGGTGATGCCAAGATGGTGAGGTGAGAAGGCCTTGGGGACATTTAGTCTAAAAAAGGAGAGACCCAGGGGTCACTAGAGGTGTCTGCACACAGCTGAAAGGCGTGGAGAGGCTGGTGTAGATTTGACTTGCCTGGTTCTAGAGCCAGAACCAGAACTAGTGATGAAAGTGCCAGGGCACCAGATCTAGGCTGACCAACTGGGCTTGTCCTGATTGTGGCCTGAGAGTCCTGTGTCTCTGGAAACTCGGTCCCAGGCAAATCTGGACGGTTGGTCATTTTAATGTAGATTAGTCTATGGAGGACCTTGGCAACCTTAGGGCTCAGGGCTTCTGCTTAGCTTTCTTTCTTTTTCTTCTTCTTTTTTTTTTTTTTGCTTCCTGAGAAGTTTTGAGGGGCTGTCTTGAGACAACAGAATCCAAGTATCCTTGGATACTTGGATAAGACTGTTAAATCATTGTTTTGTTTTATTTTGTAATGTTTTGTTTTACATATTACATGTATCACTGACATCTTACCTTTATCCCTAATCCCTCGCCTGTGTTATTGGGATTTCAACTCATCTACATCATCAATTTCTATATTGTTTGTTTGGTTATTGAGTATTTGTTTTTGAATATGTGTTGCTTTTAAAATTAGAAAACATGATTAAAGTCTACTGGATCTAGGTTAAGCCTCTATGAAGGCACGAAGCTGCTCCCCTCCAAAGCCATCATTACAAAGAAGTTTTAGGATGTGACATACAGTTCATACATGTTCCTGAGGACTCTGAACACCATTAGAAATGTAGTTAAGAATTTTCTGTGCAGCTGGAAGCTGAAAATAAGGCCATATATGGGGGCCCAACTGTCTTTACATCCAGCGTTTCAAAGGTAGAACTCAGAGGTGGTGAGATGCAGATCTACCATGCAGGCGGACATGGGGCTGCCTCCGCCGGGCATGGCTGATGGCCTTTCATGAGATGAGGAAGGGTGCTCAGCCGTGGACACATGACCACCTGGCTTCAAAGCTGAGCTCTGATTCATACGAGCCATGTAGCCTGTGCAAGTTCCTGAACCCCAGCTTCCCTTCTGTTTTCCTCGTGTATTAGGAGCACCTACTTCATCGGGTTAATGTGAGGGTGAAATGAACTTACAAATACTAAGCGTCCTTCATACACTGAGAGCTACACAAGGGCAACCACTGTTTGCTGAGTGCCTCCTGTGTGTCAGGGGTTCTTCACGTAGATGATATGAGGGATGTTTTCTAGTAACCCCTCTCCTGACCCCTCACTCTCAGCAGGCAACCTGACTGAGAAAATAAGAAATCAGACAGATACTCTCAACAACCTAACATTTTAAACCAGGAAAAAGTGGAACTGTCCTGGATGAAGTGAAGTCTAAGTCTCCCCTGCCCTGACCCACCCAGGGAGTAGGTTGGGGACTGTGAAGCCAGATGGGTGGAGGCAGCTCTGGCTACAGGGCTTTGGGGGCCCTCCACAGACCCCCTGTGGTCCTGGGTGGTCATACCTAAGCTTGTGCTGGTGTCAGGGAAGCCATCATCACAGGGCAGTTTAGGCCAGTGGTTAGGAGTCCAAACTGCCTCTACTTGATTCTCAGTTCTGCTACTTATTAGCTGTAACTTGGGTCTTCAGTTTCTTCACCTCTGCAATGGGGATAATTTGTACTTACGTCATTGTGCTATTAGGAGGATTTAAATTAATATGTATAAAGCACCTGCCTGGCACACAGGACTTGCTTCATCAATGCTATGTTCTCCTTCTTCAGAGGAGGACTAGGGGCCAGAGTATAGAATATGGGCCAAGATCAGATTCTGGTACCCTTTGGGCCCCTGGGAACTACTGATCTCTTTCTTCCTCTTTCCTACTTTCAACCTCCTCAGAAATTTTAGGGGCAACAGGAAATTAAATTACATGAAAATTATTTAGGAATCAAATTCTTATTTTTTTTGGAGGCAGGGTAGGATTTCTAACCGATCTTGCAGAGCAAATGCCTTGAAAGGAAAACCCCAGACTAACATAACTGTAAGAGTTATGGGTGGCCATAAAAGTGGTAATCTGTGAAATTTTCTTTTTTTCACAATGTCTTCATCCTTACAGCTATGATAGGGCATGGTGAGCAACAGAGAGAGGTGGTATTTCCTTTAATAAGTTCACAGCTTAGTATTGCTGGGCCTGCCCAGAACACTGGGGGGATGTAATCCCCGGGCCTATCAACCTGTTCATCACATACGTTCTGGGGGCTTGTGTGAGAGCCACGTTCACAGAGAAGGCCCATGTGTATTTACCGGATGTCAGAGGCATCAATTTGTTCAATCTGATGCTGCATTCCAGGCAGACAACAGCAGCCACCTCTTCTTTCCTCCTGTTCCAAGCTGCAGAGGACTCTCTCGTGGGGAATGACACCACGGTTATTGTCTCCAGATAAATAATTAATGCCAGATAATTGACTTCCTTCTGTTGTGTTCCACTGAAACTGAATTTCATTTTGCAGTGCCATTGTTTACTTCCATGTGCAAAAATAAATAAATAAATAAGTACCATCGTGTTGCATGGAATCTTCCAGCAGCCTGGGTGAATCATGTGGGCTAGGCCATTGGTATTTGAGACCCCTATGAGTATATAGTAGCAAAAAGACCTGTTCTAGGTGCAGACTCCTGGGAGAGAGTAGGGGGCAGGGAGCTATAGCCCCCTAGTCCAGAGGTTGGGATCCCATGCTGAATTGGCATGAGCAATGAGAGGTGGTCTGACAGGATGCAGCGGTCCTCAACTCTGATGGCATCCAAATCTGCTGGGGCACTTTCATATTTGAAAACAAAGAAATAAAAGAACAGAACCCTACTCTTAGAGTCTTTAATGCCAGCCTAAGTGGTTGAAAGCATGTAGACCTTGGAATCGGACTTGGATTCAAATCCTAGCTCACTTCTTACCAGCTTTGTGACCTTGGGCAGCTGCTCAACCTGTCTGAGTACTGGTTTTATCTTCTATAACATGGTGACAATGATGACTGCTAAAAATGGTGGTATAAGTCCTTGGATGCAGGAAGGGAGATCTCTCTTGGGCCTCAGGGTGCTTTGCAGTGCAAAACCCTCATTCTCCCAGGCTTTACCAGTGATAGTAACCAAGACACTACCTACTCCCAAGCCCCACCAAGTAGTGAAAACACTGCAATCCCAGGTCCAAGTTCCTCCCTGGAAGGTCAAGCATTTATTGGTGGGAGTGAAAAGTGCCAGAGATGAGCTCCCTGGGCAGCAGGAGACTGTGGCTGCTATGTCCCTTGCTGGTCTTCATTGGCTCCTCTGTCTCTGGACTGCCATCTTTCCATCTGGGATGCTACATCTTCCTACTGGATCTGGGCATGGTGGTGGTGCTACTGAAACCCAGCCAGGATGGTCAGCATGTTGGCACCAGTCTGCACACTCCCAGGGTTGTGCCCTCCACCATCTCAGCAACAGCACGGCCCTCATTTTCTGCAGGGATCCAGATGGCCCAGTCCTTTGATTTAGCTGTCTTTATGGGAAGGGTCCTAGGGGGTAAGTTGGAGGCCAGGGTCCACACAGGGCCACGTCCAGATGTTCCTTCCTCACGCCCTTTCGTTTCTTCTCTCACCCACAGATCCAGCTAGGGCATCTTGCTATTTTCTCTCTGGGTTCCTGCCAGTGAAGGGGCGAGGGGCAGTATTGATTAATGGACGGGCCTTTACAGCCCCCATAACAAAGTTGGCTCACAGTTTCAAGCACTTGCTGCAGGCTGGGTACTGCTGCACACAGCTATTCATTTAGTCTTCACTATGGCCCATGAGTATAATTATTATTACGTATATTTTCCAAACGAGAGGTCACAGGTTGGGTTCTCTGGAGAGTAGCCTTTGAAGTGGAATTAAGAGTTCAGGATGGTTATTAGGGAGCACATTTGGGACCAATGCCTGTGGCAGGGAGACGGGGGGAAGCAGGACCAGGCAGAGGGTGAAGATGAGCTGTAATGTTGGCTCGATGACCTCAGCTGACCTCACAGGGAACTTTGGAATCAGAGTTGTCGTTCATGGGCTGAAATGGCCATATCCTTTATGTCCCACTTTTATCTGTCTTTGGAGAGTATTTAAAATTTTTTTTAATTAGAGGCCATTAGGCTAGGGCTGCTTCAGCAGTTTAAGTTTCTATGTAAGCAACCCAAAGCCCAGCATAATCAGTAAAAGGAAACTGGAGACTTTACCAATCAGAAACTGCCAACTAATGTCTAACTCGAGTCTTTCCACTCTAACCAATCATGTAGACTTTCTTTGTTCTCCTTCTGTGTTCGGCCATGTGCTGTCCATGCTGCTGGCTCCTGCTTTGTTCACACTTCATTCACTGCCTTCTCTCTTGGCCTAATCAGGCCTGGATTTGTGTCAAGTATACAATTTGGGACTTTCCTCTGCGACCTCTCTGGCTCAGAGTGCTGCCTGATTCATGAATTGTTCTTTGCTCAAATAAACTCTGTCAAATTTATTTTGTCTAAAGTTTTCCTTTTAATAAGTGGGCAGCT